CTTTAGCGCCCTCCAGATTCCTTTGGGGTTCCCTTTGTTCTTATCTATTGTTTCCTGGAAGAAACATCGTTTTGCATATTTTATCAAATTTGATGTTTTGCATTTTGTACGAGTGTACAAAGACCAGTCGAACGAAAGGTTTGTACGACGGGCTGTTTTCAGCAGATTATCTCTTTCACGTATCAATTCCATAATTTCATCATTCATCCAAGGGGGCTGGTTTTGCCTCTTTACTCGCCTGTTTTTCCAGGACAAACGCTGATCGAGAACCTCACTGAGCATACTCTCAAGAGCATTCAAAATATCGTCAATGTCTTCAAATATGAATGCAGTGTCCCAAGGGATACGTTCTAGTGATTGTAGAAGTTCATCTAAATTCAAGTTCTTTGTTTCCCGATAGGAAATTGTGGTATGTTCTGACTCACAATCTCTTCTTTGTTTGGCGTATTTACGCTGAATAATTAGAGGAAGGTGGTCCGCAAGCCCGATATTTAAGACAGCCGTTTGTGTGAGCAAACTCGGTGATGGGGGGAAATTGATTCGAATTATGACGGAAGACTTTGAGACACTTACTGAAGTTTTCAAGGCTCACAGAGTGTGACAAATTCGTGAATGAATAGTCGAAACGCTCAAAAAGTCAGCTTTAGGCTAGTCAGTGTAATTTACTTTATGTCTGCTTTTAGTCGATCATTAACTGTAGATTTATTATCGAAGGTGGAAATTTCACGTTAAATAACGTTGCACAAGTTGAACTAAAATCAAGAAATGAATTTCTCTTGGCATTTTTGGAATAACCAGAGGTCGACAGAGACAAGAAGGCATGGGGGAGAACGGGGCTGGGAAGGGAACCGAACGTTACTGGAAAGAAACCCAGTGGGAGAAGGAACTAAGAAACCGCGGTAGCGGACACTTTTTGGACATCATGTTTTTTCTTCGATTAAATTTTATACCGGGGAACCCAGTAACTTTTTTAAAAGTAGGACCGGCCTTCTGTGACTCGCCGCCCAACTCTCCCATTCTGTGAGTTGCGTGACCGAACCCCGGCTGCTACCTGGGAACAGGCTCCGCCCCTCCTTTTGTCCCCTCTCCCCGAAAACTGTGAAGAGAGTCGATAAGTCCTAATATTCTTGTTTTTATTTATGGCGTTCACAATT